TCTATTGAATTTCGTACAACTTCGAATGCAGAACATTTAGCTCAATTGCAATAAAGCTATTGCTTTTCAGTATAACGACTGCCTGGGTACACGCAGCAAAGCGTCTAGTTTGTATTCATTCGAGTCATACGACCGCCTCTTCGCCCTCTAAATGAAATACCCAGTGACTAAATTCGTTTAGTATTTTCAAGTACTGGCTTGTCATGTTTTGTATTTACATTATACTAGCTTATGTTCGGATTGTTGTCAACTTTATACTATACACTACGTGTTATTGTTCAGTTGTATTTTTAGTTTTTGTTATCTTGCGCTTACATTGTTGATAATTCTATGTAATTTTGATTGATAAGACATAATAAAGAGGGTTATACACGGTTCGTGTTGACACACCCCACAAGCGATTGCTGATTACATGATAAATGTTTTATATTCGGTTGAGTGGGGCAGCGAATTAGAATATAACTATTTTTTTACCCGCCAAGGCATCGTTCAGGGTTGCCCCGTTATAAAATGGTTTCCTTTACAAACCATGCCCAGAGTGGTATCTTTTAGGGACTTCAAATTCAAATTTTCCGAACGGTATCCGCGACCTTGTCGCGGGAGTTCCCCCCTTCCCCGCCCCGAGGGGGTTTTTCGGTGCCCACGTTTTGCAACTGCTTGTTCAGGTATTCGAACCAGACAACAGAAAAAGAAAAGCCTGTATTGAGCGATCACTACCAGGACTCTCGTGAGTGTAAACTTGATACGCCGGGATTCTTTTTACAGACAAAATGGGAAAAAATGTTTGGGACTTATTGAGGGACGGATTCCAGTTTATACAGATTTCACTTTATATAAATGTCAGTATATAGAAGAAAAGATTTTAATTGTTTAAAATTCGATTTCTCGTGAGGACCAGAATTATCACGGCCCAAAGTTTCGGATATCGCAAAACATGTTGTTCAAAAGAGGTCGATGCGCCTCATCGGAATAAAATAAAGAACTCGGTGCTTCGGTGCTTTGGCTTCCCTCGACTTCGCTGTCGTCATTATTCACAGGGTTTCTTTGATGCGCATGGTCAGCATATCGATATCTAACTGCTAAGATAAGAAACACAGCCGCGTTGATCAGCATAAGACCAGCTAAGAGGAACATGTAGTATTCAAGCGCGCCTTTGTTGAGGTCTTCAGGATACCACTTGCTGTCTGAAGCTTTTTTAACAATGGAAGCCAACAGTCCTGCCACGTAATATCCTGAGCCAATCATACCCAAGCACAAACCCATTATTACGCCACGCAATTCGGCAGGGGACTGGGAATAGGCAAACTCAAGACCTGAAAATATAACAAATTAACTCTGAGAAAAATGGAAAACGTCATCACGAAGAAAGCAAGAATCCAGTATTTTCAAGGTTAGTCCGGCAGGGACTTGACTAGTCCAAGTTAGGAGAACTAGGTAAGCTTTGAACAGCCAGACATTTCCAAACAAACACAAAATAGTTTCAAGAGGCTTGAAACGTCTTTTTCTCGAAAAGTGTGAGAACATTCTTTGTTCCTTGCATTCATCACATTTCCTCAGTTCTTTCAGTCTGCATACGAGCCAAGTGGCCCATCAGGCCGGATCTTATCCCGGTTTCTGTACCTTGAAGCGACTAGTATCTCTACTGCTCAGCTTACCCCGCTCTCTTCCCCCCCTGAATGGGATGCTAGTCCATCGCAAGCCGGGTTACACCTAGCATTAAGTTCGCCAGTAGCCATTTATACACCCGGGTGGACAGAGGCGCTGTGAGGGTGAAGTGTCTTGTCCCAGAACACAACACAACGTCCCCGGCCAGGGCTCAGACGCGGACCACTTGATCAGGAAACGAGCGCATTAACCATGAGATCCCCGCGCCTCCCACTAGCTTTTTGTGTGGGATACCTGTGGTATCCCACACTATAAACAGGTATCCCACACTATTGTCATAGGCTCGTGTCCGTTAATGCAATTGAGGTATCCCACTCATGTACCCTTTGGCTAACTATTTTTCACCAAGGTTGGGAGTTAAACTACAAACAAACTGTCATACCTGTCACAGACACCAAAGCTTCACTTGTTCCTTGCAGAATGTACTGAGGCACTTGATAAAACACACTCATGGTAGATGCATTTACTGTCTTATTGAATACATCTTGTTTGATTGTTCCATAACCATGGTGTTTTCGTTCAAGTTCAATGATCCCCGCGAGAGCTACCGAACCAGCGGCGAAGAGCATTCCAACACTGATTCTCCGCAATGGGGTGAAGTTGAAGCCAATACGAAGAAAGCCTGGGTACACAACTCGGTCAATAAAAGGAAGGAGAACTAGTAATGACACGATTCCAAATATGGAGAGAGATGCTGCAGGAAATGAGAGTTGCTCTGTGATTCTCAAATTCATGTAAGAACCTTGTAAGACAAAGGTGGTGAGACTCTATGAGAAAAAAGGGGAAAAAAGAAGTAAGGGTGGTCAAATGTTACGCGTGAATAGGTCAAATAAACACATTATTTTATGCATGTAGTCATGAGGCGCCTTTGGCCATAATAATAATAACAATAATAATAATAGTAATAATAATCACTTTATTTAAGTGTCGATGTATTTAGCACTAATGTGCTAATTGCGGACACTGTAAATAAATAAACAAATATTTCAAATTTAACATAACTATTAAGAATCCCAACTGGTGGGAGGCTGACCAGTTGGCTATTTACACAACGCGGTCGAGGAGTTGAACTCGGGGCTACCGAGAACAAATCCAAATAGCGGTGGGGTGGAGGATTTGAACCAGGGACCTCCAGATTTCAAATCCAGCGCCCTAAACCACTCGGCCACGCCGCCTTCCATTAACGTTTTGGAAACTTATCGCAATGATTAACCGAGGTTCAGACAATTTTCGCGTCATCAATCACTTTAAAAGTTGGAACCGACTTCATCATGAAGTACTAAACGCGTGGTTTTCATTCCTTTATAAAGTGACAATGCAAAATAAAGAACCACTTCGGTAGAGCGAAAGTCAGTATGAACTTACTGCTCAACATTTGAACATATATGAACATTACTAAAGGTTTCAGTACCAGATGTGAAAGAGTCATAGTAGCGGGCTCGGTACAGTGAGTAACTGAAAGGTAAAAGCCGGTTATGAAAAACAGACTGAGGTAGCCTGCGTACAGGCGTTCTAATTTATTAGCAAGCGAAGGGAACGAAACTGCGAGTGAGTGCGAAAAAATAAGAAGCAGGAGGAAGGGGTGAGAAAAATGATTCCATTCCTCTCCACCCTCTTCCCCTTCTTCAATCTACTCGCCTGGAAAAGGGAAAGGAAGAGTCTGCGACTGAATAATCGTAATTAGTCGCAAGTACTTGCAAATCGAACATGCGTACAGACTTGTGTTGTAAAGTTAAGCAAAGTGGTGCGGTTAGCTATATATAGTGTACGCAAGTTGCAAACTAAAGCCATTCCAAGGCGAGCGCAGACTTTTGTTGACTGTCGTTGGGTATGCAAACGGTGGAAATCTTGTGTCGACTGTCATGCAAATTTGATCCCTTTTCAAGATCAAAGTGATCTTAATAAGCCATTGCAAGTCAATACAGGTGCACGCGAGTCCACCGAAATAGAGTAGCAAGTAGACTTGTGACTCCGTTTGGCTAGGCTCTTTATTGCCATGCTTCACAACTACAGGTGAATCGAAACAAGTACAGTCGAGAACATTGTGACACTCCAACCCCCCCCCCCCCTCCCTCCCATCTCCCAAACCTCCCATGCACCAGCTTACCTGACCATACAATGTCCAATAGCATATGTAGGTTAGGAATATTGGGATCAACCGAACTACTGACTTAACTCCTTCCACCATTTCCTCGGGAAACTTTCCTCCAACAGAATCTTTAGCTCCATCCAGCCAGTGGGTCAGAGATGGATTCGCCCTGCAGCAGAGTTTATCTCTCAGTCCTCCACCAATGATGCGGAGCGTATCTGCCAGATAACTTTCTTGTGGTGGGTGTAAAATGTAGTGCTTTCTTCCTATCACGAGTAGAATGGTTGCACAAGCTATAGAGACTGAGGTTATCAGGAAACCATAGAAAAACGAGACCTCTTGTTGGACGTACGCCACAACGGTATAAGCTAACAGCGACCCAACCTGAATAAACCAGTAAAACCAGTCGAAGAACTTTCGTACCATCTCGGGACCTTCGTCGTTTACCTGGTCTGCTCCCATTAGGGACACATTTGACTTGATTCCTCCTGTTGCTATGGCGATGAAAAGGAGCGACACAGCAAGGAATCCTTCTTTACCCGACATGCCCAAACCATAGGCCGAAGGGTAACTATAAGTAATAGCCGTGAGGAGACCGGTACCAACTACGTAAAGCAGTGAGCATCCATATATGGTGTTGAATCGTCCAATCATGGTATCAGCCAGCCAACCACCGATTACAGGAGTGAAGAAACATGTTCCTAAGAAAAGAACAGCGGTGTTTCAATCTACTTTAAAATCCTAAACTTCTGCTAGACTTGACTAATTAACTCAGGCTATGAACGTTTAATTTTAAAAGCAGTGCGCTAGACTTATATTTCTACGACATCATATACATTGATGTGATATAATTTCGAGGAAAAAATATGCAAATATTGTTTTTCAGTTCAAATGTTAAAGTTGGCTAAATTCCAGTCAAAATTAACAAATAATCATTTTATTCAACTTTGCCTTCAGCTTTAGTCGGGCTGTTCTAACTCTGCCTTTAGGCATCGATCATACTCTTATACTACGTGATGTTCTAAACAGACATCTTACCTTGAAATGCCAAAGTGATCGTACTGGGTAACGGCGAGGCAAGCTTGAGGACATCTTTACAATAAAATACCAGATTAACTGTCACGCCATAGAATGTGAGGCGCTCACAAAGCTCCACAAATAAAATACAAAGAACTACAAGATATCTTCTTCTCCTTGGAGCTGGTTCTTGTAAACAAGCTCCCGCGTTTCCTCTCGGCGTCTCAACGCAGACATCGTGGATTGAAGAGAGCTCATCGTCCTGCCGACAGTTCATTGTCTCTAAAGAAACCACATGCGTGTTATTTAGTGTCTGTGACTGTGTATGTCGCAGCGTTTTTGACGTTGACCTAGCTAGCCATAACGATAAATCATCTGTCGCGTTTTCAGCTCCTGTCCGGTGCAGGCATGAATCATATGTACGTACAATGAATCAAATATAACACAGTCAAACGTATCAGTAGAAATTTGCATTAGCTCCATTCAATTCACTGACGTTTTGCCTACACAGGGTTGCTTTATATGTAATAGCATACTGACAACGGTCCAATAACAATGTAAAGTCGCCTTTCCTAAGCGAAGCGTGCTTTCCCTGGCGCAAGTTCGGGGATAACCTGTTATTTAAAATTTGATAACTTTAAAATGAAACTCGTTCTTAAACTCATAAGCGTTATCTACGAGTCATTGACGAATCACGTCGAGTAGCGTATCGATATATACTTGTGATCAAGCGTCACTGGGTCTCGGCAAATTATCTTAAAAATTGCACTAATAATTCTAACAGTGCCGAGTATTATAGCGAATGATCCGAACTTGGAATTTAAACGCAGCCGCTAGCGCGCTATAAATTCTGAAATTCATGCAAATAATACGGCTTTATACTAGGACAGATGTAAGCGCAAGTCACTGATATGCTTTCCGAGCTACAGCTAAGATCAACAAGGCCCTAATAGCTTCTTTACCGAGCTTTGCGGATTCTTACCTTTGAGGGCCGGTTTAAGTGCCTATACGCTTCACTGTAGAAAGCAAAATGTTCGTCACTTTCTCAGTATGGACTATGATTCCGTTTCAAGCTAGACACAAGGATTGCGCTTGTAACGTCTCGAGTCGAGTCACGTGAATGGTAGTTCATTGTTTGCCGGTATTTATCCGAAGAAAGTGAAAGTAGCATAAGGTCAAGGAGGGTATAGATTGTCATAAAAACTCTTTTTCCTTGGCCATCGTAGCTTTAGAAGAAACAAAACACAAACCGCGGTGATAAACATGGAACCAAAACGCATGTTAAACAAAGTTAATTTCCTTGACGTTTCGTATGTACAACATACATCTTCAGAAGTGACCGTTAACTAGATTACAATCGAAATTTAAACGCGAAGAAAAAGAAAGAGACTGGTATCTAATGATATGTGACAAGACTAATAGTTAATAACAAACAGATGAGTCTGCGGGAGAGAAAAAAAAAAATTACCATAATAATAATAACAATACAAAATGCTAGTAAAGAAAAAGTTTTTCACTGCCAACGTTTTCATTCAAGGCTGGC